GGTCCTAGGGTCCTCTGTTCTTGGACTGTAAGATTAACTATTTCTCCACCCCCCCCTTTTATTACAAAACTTCTACCTTTACAATTGTGACAATTACAATTAGTCATGGTTAACAATTACTCACTGTTGAATCCTAAGAATCTTATTACCATCTCCTTTCACCAGATCTGTCTAGACAAGATGAAAACTATTCAGTAGGGATTCTACCTTTCCCCACAGACTTGAAATTAAATTCCCACTTGAAAACTTGTAAGCCAGTCACTTCGTGCCTTTATAGCTCCCCCTTCTTAAGTAGCCAATGTCTAAGTTGCACATCCCTATCAATTCTGTATACAGAGGAGATACATTGAAGACTCCTTCCCTCTCAGTTGGTATTTTGGACTCACTCTCAGTGAGTCCTGGTGTGGTGCTGTGGGTTAATGCGTCAGACTGCAAAGTCATTTGAACTGCAAGGTTGGTGGTTCAAGCTCACCAGTTGCTCCTTGGAAACCCTATATACAGGTCACTACAGGTCAGAATCCATTTGACGCCACTTAACAACATCTATAAGTATAGGTCAAGTTCATCAAATTTACACTTGTTCCCTTTATCCAATTTGTTTTTTATCTTCTAGTTGAATATAGTAATCATCAAGCCATTGAAACTAGGTCAAATGGGTACCATCTGCAAGTTTGGGCAGTCTTGTGCATCTCCCCCACTTGGTATCTGCTGGACGCTTCGCTTCACTCTCAGCTGTAGTCCTCCATAGCTATGTCTTTGTCCATGGGCTCAGGAGATCCCAAGTCTCACCATAATCTGAACCAACCAACCGTTTCTCTTCTTTCTCTCATTTCCAGGTCGACAGGGGTCTATAGAACATGGTCGAACTCAAGTCCATATCTCCATTGCTGCTTTTCCCCCACTTTAACTCACATGTAGTCCAACGTGGTCACCAGCAAGCTTACACGGTTGCTTGTGTGATCCCTTTGGCTTTGTCTTGGAGGGGGGGATCATCCCTACTTTTTAATGTAAACTAAATGCCAAACACTGCTTGTCTTTGAACTTATGTTCCCCTCCACCACAGCATGAAGGCCTGCTCTTTGCCAACAGGAGCCTCCAGCAGCCTCAGGGCACACCCACCACAACTTGAAGGCCAGCTTGCTAATGTTGGGAGTGGCTGGCCAGAGGCAACAATTCATCCATACTTCCTCTTGCCCTCAAAGTTTTAACTGGTCCTTCATGCTCCTTTTTCCACTTTGGACTTTTCGGTGGTACTTTAATGAACATTCATGATATCTGGCCATTTCAGTCTCATTGAGAGTCGTGGGAAGGACCCCCACATTCTCACTACCTCAGTGGACACCACTCTTGGTAAAGCACAACGATCCTTCTGAAGCATGTCAACAGACTCACTGGAAAAAGTTTCCTCATTAAACCCTGAAAGGCAGAGTTAAGTGAAGGGTGGATCAGGGTGAAGATTCAATAAAGAGGGAGCCAGTTCAAATGGGGTCATGTTCTCAGACCACTCAAGAGGGAGGGAGGGATAGTCTGGCTACCTGCTTAGATTTTTAAGATCATTCCTCTTGAACACAATTTACTAAGAAGCAGAAAATGTGAGAATAATTGCTTTTGAAATTCTGTATGAGTTGAAAGGTTTTTAAAAGAATCCTGCTTAATTCATTACTGGAAATGATCTTTATACAAAGATGGATGAACAGCATATACATACAGTGTTATATCACTCTTGCTGTAACCAATTAACCTCCTTAACCTTGTAAAACCCAAAACACATGTATTCAGATAATGAATACATCTTTCCCTTCTTTTTTTACACAAGTAATGTGTACATGAGTCCCTGATAATATTTACTATCACTGAGACACAATCACTAGGAGGTCTTCTTGCTCTTTCTTTAGAATGGTCTAAAAGGCCTGATGGTAGTCGCTCTGTGGGGCTGTGGCAGGAACTGAGCAAACATTGAATGTAAGTTATTTTCATGACCCTGTAGGGTCATGCTAACCATTTTAGTAGAACAAAATCATCTATATTCATAATCTGAAATTAAGCACATATAATGCTATGAGTCGGAACCGAACCTACGGCACACTACCACCAACAACCATTGTTGTTGTTAACTGCCGTCGAGTCGGTTCCGACCCATAGCGACCCTGTACAGGGTTTCTGAGGGTGTAAATCTTTACGGGAGTAGAAAGCCTCATCTTTCTCCCGCGGAGCGGCTGGTAGTTTCGAACTGCTGACCTTAAGGTTCGCAGCCCTATTCGTAACCACTACGCTACACCAACAACCATAGCTTACATAAAATAAACATTTTTAAAAAAACAACCTCAATTAAAACAAATAAAATCAAGATACAAATGGCCCACTAGAAAAGGTATGGGCTATATGAAGGCTACGATTCTTAATATAAAATGGCTCCCACAAACCATTAAGTAAAAACATCCATAAACATAAGGACCGCCCAATTTGAATAGAACACATCAGAAAGAAGTAGAACTGACCATAAACACATAAAAACGCTTTCAATATGATTAGCAATGAAACACTTGCCTACCAAAGTAGCAAAGACTGCTTCTTTAAATCTAGAGCAAAGTCCATGCCACTATTGTTGGGGCTGGCACGAGAGAGGCCTCTCTGACACTACCAGTCTACCCCTCTGGAAGGCAGTGGTTATCAAAAGCTTCAAACATGGCATCAACTCTGACCCATTCATTTTACCTGTAGAAACTAAGCCCAAGGCAGTAATTGTGGAAATATGAACATATCTCTGAAGAGGTCCACCACAGCACTGCTGACAACAGCACTGATGCACAACAACAGAATAAGCGACATTTAGTCATGGTACACCTAAGATATGGAATACTTTATACAGTTATTAAAACGATATGTAGAAGAATATATGTAAGATTTTAAAGTTTGTAATTTATTAAGTACAAAAACATTATAAAATAAGTATATGATTCTAATTTTATAAAAAAATGATAGTATTCAACATAATTCAGGGGTTTATGCTGAATATTAATGCTGCCATAGCTCAGAGGTAGGATTATAGGTTATTTGAATTTTCTTATATTTTAATGTGCTTTCTAGATTTTTGTGCTATAAGCATAATTTTTATATTCAGAAAAAAAGCATAATAATATACAACCTATTTAGGGTATTTTATAAACCTTTTCACAAATTTCAAAATATAGATTACAAATAGTCAATAACTTTTATTAACATAATGATATAAAAAATTTTAGTGTGATATACAGAGTTCCCAGAGAGTAATTTTATACATTTTAATGCACTTATTAAAACCCTAATTTACAAGACACCTTGTCTTACTGCCACTGATCTTTCAATACAAAAATCTTACAATATTTTATTTGCTATAAAATTACAACATTGAAATTGCAGTTAGGTAGTCCTTTCTCCTTCCTAGCCAATCTAATATAAGGAATGTCCATTAATCCATTGCTAAAACTTCTGTATGCCAAACAATAAGTTACATAGGTTCTGTACATAATTACAATAGGATTATTAGAATTCCAGTATGTGGCAACATACTACACTGCAGTCTAACACCACTGGCAAAGAGAGCTACTATGTATGATGCTATTTGTAGCCAAGTAAGAGTAAGATGCGAGAGTCTGCCCAGCCAGACTCCTTTGGTGGAGACTTGAAAATGGTAGTGAATCAGTAACAAAGCTGTGTTAGGCACTGATCCAGGCGCATTGCAGATTAATTCTGGAAAGGCCTGGTTGTTTCTGTGAAACATGCAAGATTCTAAATTTTCCCGCCCTTAATACCCAGAAAACTCAACAACTTCATAGTGTACTCTTTATTAATTATATAAAAATAATCTATGTCTTAGATTCGTGCTTGACTTCAAATTCTTAAAAGTATCTAAAGGTTTTTACATTCTCTGATTTAGGTTCACTATAATATTAGATCACTCAGTTTACTCAAGAAGTTTGCATGAAACAGCTGGATATAGTTTGGCCAAATTTTATAAGCATACAACTCAAAGCATGAAAGCATCTGATGAGTGTAAGATCATCTCCAACTTCAACAGACAGAGTTCTCAGCAATACCCCTTACCCATTACTACAGAATGTCTATAAAGCAACGCTGAGACTGTGAAACCTTAGACTTCTCTATCAATGCTATGGAACCTATAGAGACTTGGAATAAAAATAATGCTTTTACACTTACGCTGTAATTGAGAGCAGTTAATATTGTCATGTTTGAAAACAAGCAATTTAACTAAACTGCATGAAGTCACAACCTAGAAAGTGTTTTAATACTAAATGTTGACTTATCTTTCCGAAAGAGAATACCTATCTAACTGGACAGTCCAGCGTGGCACTTACTGCGTGTTAGTGACTCCGAATGTAGACAGTCAGGCACACCTGTCTTAATAAAGAAATGGGCAGCAAGAAGACACTGTGCAGCCATAGCGCTGTGCCAGGGCCAGGACTCAGTCCCCTTCCCATTGGTCTTTCTGGGCTCAGATGCTTCCATGTGAAACGGAAGTGAGGCAGCTGTACTAAGGGCCTCAAAGTGTTTTTTCCAGCATATATTCTATAAACGAATTTCTCATTTGGTGTGGGAATAAGTAATTGAATTTTTTAAAATCAGGAATTATATTTTAGCTTAAGAAAGTGCAAACTCGTAATACAGTAGAGAATACCTGCATGTCTGCAGTTTCTCAAAATGCCCGCCCCGGCTGGGCCTTTCCTTTTCCAGTCACCCTGTTCGAAGACTGACATTTGTGTTTTGTACATGTCCTTGGCAATTTCAAAACATTTCTTGAACTAAATTCAGGAAATGCTTCCCACGATGAGATTTTGGGCACCGTGGAGCGAGATCTGTAACAGTACAGAGGGAGAGGTGGCATCCTACACAGACATGTCAGCATTTCCACGTGGTATGAGACACTTCTGACTTGTTTCAGTGCCCCAAAGCCTGCATTACAATGAATGTACAACTCTCATTTTGGGGTGCTCTTCTTGGATGTGTGCTGGTTCACATGTTGTAGGCAACATAGATAGGGTCCAGCTGGTCGGCCAGGAAGCCGTCCCTTAGGTGCATGCGCTGCTTCTCACCCCGCGAGTTGATGGGGATCACTCCCGGGTCCACGATAACGACCACACCGACGACCAGGTAGTGCTCTTCCAGCACCACGTTGGTCACCAGAGCCACCAGGTCCAGCGCATCCTGCTCCAGGCCCTCCAGCTCCACCACCACCACCAGCAGGTTGGTCCATGTGAAGACAGCACTGTGGGTGAGAAGACAGACATCCTCAGACAGAGATGGCACACTACTCTGGCCTGTAGACATCCAGTTGTTGTTGAAAATCACAACTGCACATTCATTAATGTTACAGTACTGCTTAACAACGTTTACACTACTTACAAGTTATGTTAAGTTTGTTTTAAAGGAGCTTATATTTTGAATACAGTTCTCGCTAAGAGTCAAGACTATGAATAATGTTGAAGCTGTATCTATACTACAACCAACTCTCTTCAGAGCAAAGGAATCATGAGTCATGACCATTTAAATTAAGAAATTTATGTTAAAATCAAAGAAACATTTCAGGATTAGAACTGTAAATATTACATTGGGGGCAGTATCTTGGTTTAAAACTGATTAGGAGAAACAATTTTACTAATTTTTAATCAAACAAAACCCAGTGTATCTCATAGTGTGTGAGACTCGACACAGCAGGCCTGTAGTACCCGGCCCTCTGATTTCCAGCATGCACCTGAGCAGAGACGCCCACCCCCGGAGCCCTGGGGCCTCACCACTCGGCAATGCTCCTATGTGCCCGGATCACTGAGGTCTCGATATCGATGGGGTGGTACCGCATGCCTCTCAGCTCAAGGGTCTCATCCAGGGATCCGACAACATACAGTGCATCATGCCGCTCTACGAGAAACACATTCAAACATGCAGGACACCAGGGTACACCAGCAAAGCCACCCTGACTTCATCATGGGTGCCACCCTAGCACTGTGGAACTACATATCGTAGGCTCATTGAGGTGTTGCAGTCCTTCTTGACTCTGGTCATTAATGGCTTACTCTATTATCTCTGCAGCAAGTGGCAACCTCAGAAAAGGTAAGACCACTTAAGAATGTGTGTTTAAAATTGTTTTGTCACCTACAAGTCCTGATGGGATCTAGTTAGCTGCTAACGGCAAACAGTCCTGCAGACACTGACTAAAACTCTGAAGAGGGCAGAGAGAGCGGATGTGCTGGGTAAAGATGCACACTGGTTTTTGGCTGACACCAAATTGGTAAAACGGCTTGCTAGTAAGGGCTGGATCTTCTGGGGAACCTGCCAGCTATACCAGAAGTCAAAGGATTATGAAGAGCAATCACAGAGGAAGGGTACCACAGACTGTGTCTGTCAACCCTCACACCTGAAGACAAAGACCACAATGGTGAGCAGCCTGGTGAACCTGTAGGTGATGTGCAGCTCTTGGCAGGGCTGTAGGTGAACCCCTCCACCCAGGATGCACTCATGTGAACTGCAGCAGCCCTGGGTCACCCTCACCTCCACTGGCATCTGTGAGCTCTGTCCTCCGAAGGAAGCCGAGGTATCCAGTCCTGGCCCAGATGGTCTGCGTGTCTCCAAAGCTCAGCCGGGCACTGAAGTGATCAGCATGCAGCGCCTCCTCCCCATAGACTGTGTAGTACCCAGTGGCATTGTGGGGGCTGCTCACCCAGATCTGCAGCCAAGTAGACATGCACATCACAAATGTGCCAGTTTACGGTGGTACCTAGGTCCGGCTGAAGAACAACACTCACGAAACGTCCTCTGGGCTATTCCACACTGAGCAAGAGTGCAGCACGGGGATGGCTTTATTTTCAGCATCTGTTAATCTGCTGTTTTTATTAAGTGCCGTTGAGTAGGGTTTCCAAGAAGCAGCTGGTGGGTTTGAACTGCCAACCTTGAGCTTAGCAGTCCAGTGTTTAATCCTACAGGGCCACACCAGGAGCCCTCTGCTATCTTGTTGTTATTGTCAAGTGCCGTCGAATAGATTCTGACACATAGTGACCCTCTATAGGGTTTCCAAGGAGTGACTGGTGGGTTGAACCGCCAACCTTGTGGGATTATCAGTCCACAGGGCCACACCAGGACTCTCCTGTTATCTAGGAAGCTATATTAGAAGTACAGGTAAATACATAACTTTTCGCTCCTTAAGTAAAGTTTTCCTCTCCTTTAATCTAGGAATGACACTTGTAAGGTGGCACTGTGTGTTAAATGTTGGGCTGCTAACCATGAAGTCAGTAGTTCAAACTAACAGCCACTCCAAGAGAAAGATGAGACTGTCTGCTCCCATAAAGATTTATAGTCTCCCAAACCCTAAAGAGCAAGTCTACTCTGTCCTTATATGGTTGCTATGAGTTGGAATTAACTCCATAGTACTGGGTTTGGGTTTGGTTTGGGTTTGGTCCTATAAGTATGAGTCAAAGATATTAAGTCAACTTTTCTCACATCAAACAGCTGTTCATAATTAAGGAAAGGTTGGGGACTATCTAGATACCCACAACAGGGTCAAGTTAGTTACATCATCAGCTTGAAGAATGTGGCATGTGCAGTCATGTCATAGCAGAGATACTGGCATGTCAAGCCTGTGTCTGTGGTACACTCTGGTTTGACCTTGCCCACACAAAGACAACAGAGCCTCTGGAGATGCTAAGCATGCTTCTAATTGGTCTTCAGCTACAACTCTGCAGTGGTAACAGCCCTAGGATCTTCCTGTGATTGTTAAGTATTATCAAGATGATTTTGACTCATTGCAACTCTGTATAGCGTTTCCAAGGATCAGCTAGTGGGTTTGAACTGTGGACCCTGTGGTTAGCAGTCCCATGCTTGGGCATCCTTTAAAAAAACAGCCCAGGGTAAAGAATATCCCCTTCTACCCTGCAGTGACCCACCCCCAAGATAGGAGGGCACAGAAGACAAGCTGAAAGGCAGGCTTCCCCTACTTCTCCACACCCTCCGAGGCCACCTCTCTGGGGAGCACCAGCACTCGAGTCTCCAGCTCCCTCTGCCTTTGCCATCAAGTGCCAGCCCCTCTCCACAGCCCCCTGTGATGGGCTCCTGGCTTGACCAGGAACTGCTCCTTTACAATAGCTAAAGGGGTTTTTCCTAGAGTGCCGCTTACTTCTTCACTCTCTAGCTGCTTGTTGGAGAGCAGTTCCCCCAGCCCCAGAGACCTCAGAACCTGGGGTTTCCTCTGCTGGCAGTGGCAGTGCAGGCGGTGGACCCTGAAGCCCCACATGCTAGTGGGGCAGGGGAAGGAGTACATGCCAGTGAAAGAGTCCTCTATCTGGGCAGAAAGGTGAGGAGGGGGAAGAGCAGCCACACCAGAGAAGAGCAACAGCAGAGAACATGCCGGCCCCTCATGCCGAGCCTCAGCAGTACTCACCTCTCCCAGGTGTGAATCTCCAAGGGGCCCTTTGGTTTCGGTGTGCGCAATAATGACCTTCACCCCAGGGAGGATCTAGAAGGAGTGAGTCCCATGTTAATGAAAACACTATGTAAGACATTTCTGAATAAATTAATATTCTAAAAAATTAACATCCTCAAGAGCTGGCTTAAAATACATGTGTCTGGCAGGAAGTGAAGAAGCAGTTCTAAATTTGACTGCATTTTTCAAGAAACTATTTTTTTGAGAGACATTAAAGTAAAAATAAAACTGTGAACCTTAGCAAAACCACTAGTTTCTAAGAATGGACCCTAAGTTGAATATGGGGGTATGTAGGATACTACATGAAGCTTTATGGAGCACAGATGCTTCCCATTCAGCCCACCCCTGTTTAGGGACACAATACTCAAGACAACAGTGCAGAGTGGAGTCTCCCGGCCCCGTGGCTCACAGTCTGGCCCATAATGACTCCACTGAGCAGCTCTATATTCATCCTTGGCAACAAGTTCTCTAATGCAAGACCAGCCTGCTGGCAGCTTACTCTGCACTGTCATCTCCTACCTGGTGCTCTGCACCTGCCCCAGTACCGTGGAGACTATTCCAAGGAAAAGACCTTGGTTCTGCCAGACCTTGGGGTAGGACTCCATTTTTATTCTGTTGGGTTTTTTTTTTTCTGTTTTCATCAATCCTGTCTCAGCTGACTTGATAGAATAACTTTTAAAGAACACGTACTCTTCCCAAGACCTTGCACAGCCAAGATCTCTGTTTCATCTGTGCGTTCACACTTCTCTCACTCACCCATTTAGTCCCACATATGGAGCACCTACTCTGCCAGGTACTGACAGACCGTTGTCTGTCCCAGGCCATCGCTAGTTCTCTACAGACTTTCCAGCTGAGCCAAGTGCCTCTTCCCCTGGCCCTAAGCTGCACAACACATCCTGGAAAGTACAAAGTCCTCTGTTTTCCAGGGTTTACTTGGTAATTTCAGTAAAGATCTGGCAGTAGGTGTGTGGCTCAGGCTGCCATACTAAATTGGATGAGCCAGCTGGTACCTTATTCAGTCTACTCACCCAACTACGTTTTACTTCACATTGAAACTACAACTTTCTATTACGATACAAAGTGTGACTCCCACTCAAGAGACTTCTCTGTGATAGGTCTGTCTAAAGTGAGGAGGCTCACCCTGCACCTGACTCTGTCCTCTGGACTAAGAAGTCTCACACTATTCTCAGTCATAGTCCTCGCACCTCTCTCCCATGGGAATTCCTGTTGGGTGTGTATAAAACTTCTCAGTCATTATTGCTGTAACCACACTCTGTCTAATGTTCTCCCTTTCTTGGTTTTACACTCATATATGTACTAACAGACTTGCACTGTCATTTCTGTGTGTTTGTAATAAAAGGGGAAGGAGGCCTCATGTGAGCCCAGCTCACCCCAACCACATCAAAGGGTTCAAAAGACCATCGGTGACTCCTAACACCTTCTGTAACTGATGAGGGAAAGGAGTGAAACACACTATGGAATGCAAGTCTGAACTTCCCTTACCTTTCCAGACTCCATCAATGGCAAGCTGTGTGGAGAGCCCCGTTCTACCAAACGCACCCTGGAATTAACAAGGGAAAGATGTCAGAATAAGCTGACCACACAAATGGTCATTTATAAACAGACTGTGAGAAGACTAGAGTTGATGATCACTGTTCATCTGTAGACAGTGGTAAGGACACTAGTCCATCAATAACTAACTTGTGACTGTGTGGGCAGTGGCTTCGGGCGGTTGGGTAGAACAGGTCCCACGTGGAGGTTCTCTGTAGACTGAAGGGCACAGTCAACACTAACACACCCCTGCCTGCTGCACGTCCCCAGTGTTCCCTGCCCAACTGACCCAGCTCCAGGCCATGCAGGAGCATGGTTTACATGTCCTCTGGATCCCCCACGGACCCGGCTGACTTTTAGCACCCTGCTAACTTACCCATGTTTATGTCAAGCTGCAGTGAGGCCACACGTGAGGATTTAAAATTGGGATCTGAATCCCAAAGTTGGGGACACCCTGAACAGCATCTGAACACAGACGAGCACCTCGTGTGCTGTAGCCACTTGGCACATGCTCCCTGAGGTAAGACCAAGCCTACACGATGGCCTAGAAAGTCCTTGGCATTCACTAGCTTGAATTCCACTGTTTCCTATGGAAAGCTACGTGTCAAGTGTTCCACCACTGCTGCCTCTTCTGGCTCCAGGAATGGTTGTGGAGTCATGAGAACACAGGTTCCTTTGCTCCTTCCTATGGTGCCACCACCCTCTGGTCTGGGCCAGTGTCCTGCCATTCTCTCAGGGCCCAGGAGGGCCACAGACTGCAAACACCATGCTGTGTGCGAGGTGCTGGGGGAGCAGGACCACCAAAATGGGGGGTGGGGGTTGGGAGACATGTTTTACCTATCATGGCGCAGTGCCCTCATGTCCACGTAGACTGTCGTTGGGTCTGGACCAGCCGTGCCCTGGAAGAAGAGCAGTAGAGTGAATTCGAGTTGGAGCTTTCCTGCAAGCTCTGGTTCAGAGCCTCTACATCCATGGCCCAGCTCTATACAGCTTATCCTGAGACCCACAGCTGCCATGGGTTCTGGCCAAAGGACTCTCAGTCCCTAGGAAGGGTTGGTATGTGGTGAGAGTGGATGATCATGTCAGCTGTACACATAAGGTACAGCTCTAGCAGCATCTTACTTCCACCAAGTTCTAGATTATGATGAAAATACCTTCACTGGGTTCTGAGGTATGTTTCCACCAACTGTCCAGGGTCAGACAGTCTCCCACCCAAAATGATTCTGGAAGGACTGAGCACAAGCAGAGATTTTCTCAGAGATGAGGGGATGACAGCCCTCAATCTGTCTCCTTACTTGTGACGTTCATCCTGATCAATTAAAGGACACCGTATTCCCACTTACTACATAGGAAACATCACACCAAACACCGATGCATTATCTGAAAATCCCACACTTTATACTATGTCTTCCCTGGAATTCAAATTGCACTGAAATCAAACACAGCCCTTCCTCCCAATGTAATGCTGTACACATTACTACTTTAAAAAAAAAAAAAAAAAGTTTGAGTTTTAAATTTGGTTGCAAAGGAATTATTATTATAACATGTCAAATACCATCCACTGAAAGCAAAGTAAGGCAGTGAAAGCAGTACTGGGTTGCCTGTAGCAGAGGCGTGGGGTGCGGGCACACATGAGGTCGTACCTGCTCAGCCAGCTTTCCCAGCCTGTTTGGCTGACAGAGGTAAGGGAGGCCAGCAGAGTGGGAACAAAGAGGAGACAGCCACGAGGAGACACAGACAGAAGGCAGCAGGAACATGAGAAACACACAGTGAGAGAGAACAAAATGCATCACTGTATCTTATAGAACAAATGTGCTCTTCGACTACTCTTTTGCAATGCTGCCTAGCATTCCACACACCCCACATGTGGTACTCACATGTCGACAGACTAAAGCAGAGCATGGACTTTTGGTGTTGGCACTGTGGTGAGTGTACACATGGCAGCACCCGGAACCCAGCTGTACATTCTAGGACTGGAAGGGACATTCTATGACTTGAGAAAAGGCCTTGCCTAGTCTCCTCCGGCCACACAAGGAGAGCCTGAGGCTCAGTGCAGGAGTAGGTTCTTTTCATGGACTAGGGGATCCGCAGCAACCATAAGGACATGGGATGCTGCTGTGGTAACAAGATGGTCTCTTTCTATGGTCCAGACCTGCCCTGTGTCCCAATCTCGCACCTTGGCCAGGGGCATCAGGGTTCTGAGGAATGGGACAAGGCTGGTCAAACACTGTGGAAACTGAGAAACAGGCCCAGTCCCAGGCTTTGTTAGGGCAGCTCTGGATTATGCCATCTCCTCCACTCGCATACCACCAGCACGTGGATAAGTAAGGCATTTGATAGTGGGCTAGCTAAAGTACCATTTGGTTTTAAGATGCTTTAGAAAGAAGGAATTGAGATACCAGTGTAACATCTAGAAAGTAGTCTAGTAATTTGAAGTGACTTATAAAATGGAACTTGTAATTCAGCCACTCAGTTTCTGAAACTAAGCAAAATTTCCTTTCAGTAAATAAAATACCTCAAGGCTTCAAAAATCAATTGGGGGCAATCAAAATTATCACATTTACTGATGTTTCTATCTAAAATTTCTTCACACTTAAGATAGGAAAATAAATTATTTTTGTTTTAAAATATTAGCTGCATATTATATCCAACTTAGAGATTCTTACAGACAAGGTAACAGTCACTGCTCAAAAACAATTTGAGTTGTTCTCCAAATAAACCTTTGTTCAATAATGAAGACAAAATGTATTTAAAAATAAACCTCTAAAAGCTCCCGAAGCTGAATGCCATCTGTAAATGTATCATCAAAAGTTCAGATGGGGCAGGAAGCTGTGAGAAACTCGATCCACATTCTTACCCATGTTATCAGAAAAACCACCCATCAACCATAAGGTCCCAGAGCCTCATGGCCCAAAGTGGACAGACCCTCACCTGCAAGCAGATGGCCACATTGACTCTGCACCCGAAGGTGGTGCTCACAGCACGCGCTGACAGGCCCAGGTCTTTGAACAGCTTGGAGAAGGACTGTGTCAAGGTGATACGGGGCCGCTCCTCTGCCACCACCATGCAGGTACGCACACAGGACAGGTTCACACCCCGCATCTGTAGAGACGTGAAAGTCAGGTCTACACTGGGTGAAGGCACTGAGGACCTAGCTGGGAACTTCTGGGTGGGGTCCCAAATGCGGCCAAGCTAGAACCCAAGCCCTTCTCCTTCTCCAGTCCCTGTAGTTTCTGCTCAATAATAGGGGCTAAAACTAATACTCAGCCCACTGCATTGCCCTCTACCTCTGTCCTCTTCCTATACTTATGCCTCCTGATGCTCAGTCCTGCCTCAGCCCAGAAGAGAGCTGTCCCTGTCCCTCCCTCTGCAGGAGGCACTGCAGGCCTCAAGCACCCCACTAAAACTATTGGCAGGTAGGTGTTGGAATGGTCTCTGGCTCTTTTGTATGCCATCCTGCAGGTGAAAAAGAGTGGGGATAATGCAAGTGAAAAAGAGTTGGGTTGCTGGGAAAATGGCTGGATTAGAGCCAATGACTCCCTTCGATCTTCTAAGCTAGTGCCTCTTGGTGCCCAGATTCCTCCCACTTCCTCCACCTTCAGCGAGTTTCTCTGACAGTCACCCTTGATCCCACCCACCATGACACCACTGGGATTCATCCAGACCCACTAGTCTCGTCCCCTCCAACTCCTATTGTGGTCTATCTGCTTCCACCCTACTACCACTGTCATAGGTTACCTGAAATGATTGTTCAAAGATGCACTACTGCCCTCCAGCTTCCGGTCAGTTTCCCCTATTCCCTTCCCCATCCCCATGCCCCTGTGGGCTATCAACTGTCGGCTCCCCCTTTACTTTCTCTCCCTGGCCCCTGGTGAAGAAGACACAGAAAGGGCTGCTTAAGAGGATGTGGGCGCAGGCACAATTGGATGCGGTGGGGTCTAGAGAAGGAGGTCTGGAGGAAGATAATGTGTACTGGGAAAGGGGATTCTCCAGTTTCCATAAACTCTAAGTGGAACATTGAGTTTTTTTTTTGTTTTTTTTTTAATGTTTTATTGTGAAGTATGTGATAGTTTACATGGGAGAATATTAGCTTTACATTCATCCTATCGTATTTCATTTCATTGCCATGGTTCAATCCCCTCCATGCATCATCAACCAAAGAGCAAACCCTGCAAGCCTGCTCCCCACCCCAACCCCACCCCTTCCCCAACCCCATCCCCACTCCTGGTCATCAGCACACAGCGCCTCTCCCTCTCTGGGTCTAAAGTCCCCAGCGGCTCCATCTCTCTACATTATAGTCTCTGCCTCCATCTCTGAAGTCACTTCTTCTCTGGGTAGGGTCCCGCTCTCTGCTCTTCTCCCTTGATGGTCCCAGGGACCTCCATTCCTAGACTGCAAAGTCCATCACTCCCCTCCTTTTGCTACAAAACGTCTACCTTTACATTTCCAACCCTCACAGTCAGTCCTGATAACAATTACTCACTATTGTATCACAAGAAACCTATCCCCATCTCCTTTCATCAGCCCCGCCCATACAGATTGACTACTACTCAGTGGAGAGTCTACCTTCCTTCATGCCCTCTGGATCTAGGTTCCCTCTTGAAAGGTTGTAAGCCAGTCACTTCTTGCCTTTGTAGCCCCCACCCCCACCCCCACCCCCATATTTTGGGTAGCCAATGTCCAAGTTACCCATCCCTGTCTACTCTGTGTATGGAGGAGGGTGGGAATAATCCTCACTATAAAGATTTGTTCCCTCTTTTGAGCTACTGCATCCATAGGTGTAGGTCAAGTTCATCAAATTGTATCAGATTACTCTTTTTTTCCTCTTCTTTCTTCTTCTAGTTGAGCTCTTATCATGCAGTTGTTGAAGCCAGGTCAAGTGGGTATTATCTGCAAATGTGGGTGTTCTTATGCATATATATGCCCTCTCTTCTTATCAGCTGGACACTTCACTCTCCACTCTAGTCCTTTATGGCTATGTCACTGACTCTGGGCCCAAGAGTCCCCAGGTCTTGCCACACTGCTGGCCAACCAGGTCTCTAGCCGGGTTCACAGGAGTCTATTGAACATTGTAGGGCTTAGCTGGCAGCTTAATTGCTGTTTTTCCCTCACTTACCCTTATCGGTGACGAAAGTGGTAACCAACCAGAGTGTGTATTCCCACTGAGTCTTAGTGAAAGCTGTTTTTTATTTTTAAATTTCCCAAGGTCCTTTGTTGTTGTTAAGTGCCGTCGAGTTGATCCCGACCCATAACGACCCTGTATATAGTTTCTAAGGAGTGGCTGGTGAGCTTGAACAGCTGACCTTGTGGTTCAAATGGCTTTGAAGTCTGGTGCATCAACCCACAGCACCACACCAGGACTCCAAGGTCCTAGCAAGTGGCAAACTTAGTAGCCTGATGCTGTAGGATAAGCACTGGACCAAAAGGTTGGCAGTTCAAATCCACCAGTTGCTCTTTGGAAACGCTACACGGAGTTAACTATGAGTCGGAACCGATTCAACAGCACTTAACAACTATAGTAGTCAACCCTTTCTTGAAGGGGAGAGGAGGTAAAGACGAGTTGGTGTAGGGTGGCTATCAGGAACATGAAGCCCCCATGACATTTCCATGGTATAGGCCCCCGTCAATGTGTGCCCACTCCATGACCCCCCCAAATGATATATACTCTTCCCATGAATCCTCACCCTGTGGCCCTGTGGAGGTAGTTACCCCATGACCCCATAGATATACACCGTCACCTTGTGGTCATCACCCCATGAGCTAAAACTACTACTGTCAGCCTGTCACCCCATGGCCATGTGGACATGGACAGTCATGTGAAACCCACTGCCCCGTAGACATGCACTGTCACCCTGTAGGCACACTCACTCTGAGTGCACCAGTTTGTGTTCCCAGGCCCTTGGTGCACATCTCCATTACTGAGTAGGAGCAGAAGGTGACCCGGGCCTTGTACTGGCTGACAGCTGACAGCCACAGTGACACATTGCTTTCCAGTTCCAAGGGTGGCACCAGGACAGACTGGTGTCCTGAGTAGACACTGCAAAAGACAAAACAGGGTGCATGAAAACATGATTCCTAAAGTCCTTCCCATACGCTCCAACCACAGAGCCTGCTGTGCAGGGATGAAGGGCATCTGCTCTCAAAGATGGCACTGCCACTTCCTGATACTTGAAGGGATCAAGTGTTCTGCCTAGTTACTAATATTGAATACTGTTTTATGTATTTTTATGTGTTTTACTCAAGTTCACAGCCAGACTCTACCCACTCCCAAACACTTGCAGGCATTGTCAATTTCCTCTGCTGACATGATGCACCATCATGAGCCCACCTTCATGGAAGTACCCGCCTGCACAGGCATCACAACACCACAGGGCCCTACCCACCTACATGGAAGCAGCCATCTATACAACACAGCTCACCTGCACAGGCACCACAGGGCAAAACCCAGACCACAGTAGGGATCAAGGCAAATGGCGATCTGGCGTGAGGGGTACAGCTCGCACTGCAGCTTTATGGAACGGCATAAGGCGCTGGTGGCTGCATGTGACATCTGAGGACAGAACAAAAGGCCTGTGTAATGTAGCATCCAAACTACAACAAACCAAACAGGTGCACAGCTCTAAACATCCCACAGCAGCACAGATTGCTTAGCACATAGCTAGATATGGTTTTAAAGTCACCCACTATTATTGTGGATTCATCTATTTCTTTCTTCAAATCTATTAGAGTTTGTTTTAGATATTTTGGCGCTCTTTCATTGGG